GTATTTTTAACTTTTCTGTGTTGTTTTAACAATCTGTGTCTACCTTATCTGAAACCTTTAAATTGAAGACATTAAGTATTTAAAATTTTTCAATCTATTCATTTAGTTTCTTTTATAGGTAATTTAAAATAAAAAAAATTACAAGAAGGCACAAAGTGAAAAATCTCCTTCTAATCTCTTACAGGATGCCTTCTACCACCTTACCCTTACAGAAAACCACTGTTATATGAATTTTTTCAGGGTTTCTTTATGCACATACATTCAAATAGAAATACATATTCCTATCCCTCTTTCTTTATATGAATGCTAGCGTATTATAAACAATGTTTTGTATTTTGCTTTTTAGACTTAATTTGATTTTCTGAAGAATTTTTATACTTTGATCAACAAAGTATGAATGTTTCCTCATAGAATGTGTTATGAAACATTGGACTTTTGTTACATGCATAGGTTGTATAGGGTATTGTGTGGTTTTAATTTGTATTTCTCAGTGTAGTTTTAAACTACAGTTTTGGTTTTTCATGAGTGAATTTGATGATCTTTGAACCTTTGTATTTCCCTTTCTGAGAATGTGTCCTTTACAGCTATTCCATTGGATTGTGTCTCTTTTCTTACTGATTTTGTTTTAGAAGCTCTACGTATATTAAGGAATCAACTCTGTGATATATGTTATAATTTTTTTTTTACTGATTTGTTTGTTTAGTTAGTTATGATGGTTTTTTGTTGCCCTGCAGAAGTTTTTGTTTATTTATTTATTTTTATTTTTTTGAGACAGAGTCTTGCTTTGTCGCCAGGTACCAGGCTGTAGTGCAGTGGTGCAGTCTTGGCTCTCTGCAACCTCCGCCTCCCAGGTTTAAGCAATTCTCCTGCCTCAGCCTCCCGAGTAGCTGGGACTACAGGCGCTCACCACCATGCCCAGCTAATTTTTGTATTTTAGTAGAGACAGGGTTTCACCATGTTGGCCAGGATGATCTCGATCTCTTGACCTCGTGATCTGCCCGCCACGGCCTCCCAAAGTGGTGGGATTACAGGCGTGAGCCACCGCTCCCGGCTGCCCTGCAGAAGTTTTTGTTTGTTTGTTTGTTTGTTTTGAGACAGTCTCACTCTGTCACCAGGCGCCAGGCTGGAGTACAGTGACGCGATCCCGGCTCACTGCAACCTCTGCCTCCTGGGTTCAAGCAATTCCCCTGCCTCAGCCTCCCGAGTAGCTGGAACTACAGGCCCGCGCTACCACGCCCAGCTAATTTTTTGTATTTTTTAGTAGAGACGGGGTTTCACCATGTTGGCCTGGATGGTTTCGATCTCTTGACCTCATGATCCGCCCGCCTTGGCTTCCCAAAGTGCTGGGATTACAGGCGTCAACCACTGCACCCTGCCAGAAGTTTTTAAAAAATGTTTTGTTGTTGAATGTGTGGATGTTTTCTTTTATGGAAGTTGATTTTTGCTTGATAGGTGGAAGGATCTAATACACACATAGATTATAAAGGAATTCACATGTTTCTTCTAATATTTCTATGGTTTTATCGCTTTAAATTTTAATATTTATTTTTTTGGAATTTACTATGAACTCTTGAGAATCTAACCTTGATAAATTCATACAAATATAACACATTTTACATGTAATTTTTACATGTTTATGGGTTCCATCTTGATATTTTCTTGTGTAAGGGTTTGTATGACTTGTATGTATCACTTTTCTTATCACAGTCATGTGGGAGAAACAGTTAAAGGCTGACTTTTCACTACCTTTTGTTTTGTTATGGATATTACAGTAGCGATTTCTGGATTATATTCTTCTTGTACACCTTGTATATACATGTAACCATTAAAAATGTTTTGAAATTATTGGTATCTACTCAGGGAAACAGATATTATATGTTGACTTCTTTATAAATGGATCTGTTTTATTGTAATTTCAAGATCTAGTATAGGCTTGGAACATAGGAAGCTCTCAAAGAATTGCTGAATGAATAAAGTTGTCAGTAATAGAAGACATACAATAGGATTAATAAAGATTTCCATACCTAGCTAACATAAATTTAGGGAATCAGTTTTTTAATGTGAGAGCCTATATTCTTTAATATTAAAATAATGTTTTGTTAAAAATCACCTTCTGTTTATATCCTAGTAGAGACAGCAAGTAAGAAAAGTAGTAATCATTACGTTCCCTAGCATTGCTTACTGGATTGTCACTGTTTTTCTTAATGAGCATTTAATGATGTATAAAGGCAAATAGTATATATATTTTTTGAGACAGAGCCTTGCTCTGTCGCCCAGGTTGGAGTGCAGTAGTGCAGTCTTGGCTCATTGCAATCTCCATGTCCAGGGTCTAAGTGATTCTTATGCTTCAGCCTCCTGAGTAGCTGGTAATACAGGTGCCCACTACTGCGCCTGGCTAAATTTTTTATTTCTAGTAGAGACGGCTTCACCATGTTGGCCAGGCTGGCCCTGAACTTCTGACATCAGGTGATCTACCCACCTTGGCCTCCCAAAGTGTTGGGATTATGGGTGTGAGCCACCATTCCTGATGGGAATTTAAATCACTATGAAAATTATTTCTGAAATTACAATTTGATGGTTGAAATATGGACTTTGTATAATAGTTGGATTTTTTTTTTTTTTGAGACGGAGTTTCGCTCTTGTTACCCAGGCTGGAGTGCAATGGCGGGATCTCTGCTCACCGCAACCTCCGCCTCCCGGGTTCAGGCAATTCTCCTGCCCCTGCCTCCTGAGTCGCTGGGATTACAGGCACGCACCACCATGCCCAGCTAATTTTTTGTATTTTTAGTAGAGACGGGGTTTCACCATGTTGACCAGGATGGTCTCGATCTCTTGACCTCGTGATCCACCCGCCTCGGCCTCCCACAGTGCTGGGATTACAGGCTTGAGCCACCGTGCCCGGCCAATAGTTGGATATTTTTGAGAGTTAAAAGTTGCTTTTTGTTATTATGAGTAAAAACCTTCTAAATATCCTACAATCTACTTTCGCTTTTGTTAAAGCGATCTTTATTTTGTAGCTTTTATGAGACTTAAGAGCATACATTTAAAATATTTAATTACACGTAAGTTGTAAAATTGTTTGCAATCTGTAGTATATGATAGAAAGCACAGATTTGGGATTTATAAGAACTAGGATTTAGGCTTCGTCCTGCCAGTAATTAACTATGTTGGATAGGATACTTAATTTCTTTGTAATAATATAAGGTTCCTTAAATGTCTTTAGTCCCAAATCTGGAGCTTTTAATATTTTTATTCTAAAACATAGGTAGTAAAATAGTATTAGTTACTTGGAGTCTCACCTATGTAATTACCTTGGTATTTCCTTTTCATCCACTTTTGTTGATGATTGAAACAAAATCTTGAATATATATTATTTCTGTTTACCTTGCTCTTTTCTACTGACTTTGTAGGTTTTTTCCTATGTGCATGTGAAATTGGTAAAGTGCAAAATGTCTTGAGCTGTGTAAAGATTAGTTGAATGACAAAGTTTTTTACACCTTTTGTCCATTGTCTCTTTTTTCTCATTACTGAATTGAATTTCCCATTTTGTTTCTTGTTAGTGTGGTTAAAATACAGTGCAAATGAAATCTTATAATACTGTTCTTACTAGCTTTTAAAATAAACTCATAACTAGAAAATGGTGCAAAATAATTTTATGGGAACCTGCTGTTTATGCTTTCCTATTTGCCTTTTCTTCTTTATTCTCCTGCTTGATTTTCTCCTAATTTTTTTCCTATAGTTTTCTGTTTCTAGTTGGCCGTCTCATCTTAAAAACCCTCAGTGAGAAGAGGGATGCTGAAAATCAAGGATAACTTTTTGGAAACTAAGAATACCACTCCTTTGCCCAGGACGGTTCTACCTCAGTGATTAATGTACCCCTTTGTCTTCCCACATTCCTCCCCTGATGTATGGTTTGTGTTTATCACTTTTGTCATTTAGTGAAGAGATGGTGGATTGATAGATTTCAAGTCAGCATTCATAGCCTGATAGCAAAGTATTAGAATGTCAGTTCTCATCCTAGTTTTGATATCTACTACCATGGGGGTTTTGGACATTTTAGTTAATGTCTTTATTTATATTTCTCCATCTATAGGGTAGGAACTATGAAATGCTAAGCTTAACAATATTTGCTTTAATTATACACAGTCATGCACCACATAACAATGTTTTGGTAAATGATGCACCATGTATACAATGGTGGTCCCATGAGATTTTAATGGAGCTGAAAACTCCTATTGCCTATTGACACTGTAGTTATTGTAATGTCATATTGTAACTCATTACTCACCTGTTTGTGGTAAGGCTGGTGGAAGCAAACCTACTGTGCTTCCATTCGTATGAAAGTACAGCACGATTACATGATACTAAATGACTATGTATTTGGTTTATGTATTTACTGTACTATACTTATTTCAGAGTGTATTCCTTTTACTTATTTTTTAAAAAGTTAACTGTGGAACACCCTCAGGCAGATCTTTTAAAAGGTGTTCCAGAAGAAGGCGTTATCATCATAGGAGATGACAACTCCATGCATGTTTCTGCCCCAGAAACCCTCCAGTGAGACAAGATGTGGAGGTGGAAGGCAGTGATATTGATTATCTTGACCCTGGGTAGGTCTCGCCTAATGTGTCTCACTTTTTTACAAAATTTAAAAATTAGAAAAATAAAATTAAAAAATAGAATAAAGTTTATAGGCCAGGCACAGTGTAATTCCAGCACTTTGGTAAAAGTAGGAGGATTGCTTGAGTCCAGGAGTTTGAGACCAGCTTGGGCAACATAGGGAGACCTTTTCTCTACAAAACATAAAAAAGTTAGCCAGGGGCCTAGTGGTACACCCCTGTAGTTCCAGCTACTTAGGAAGCTGAAGTGGGAGAATCACTCGAGCCCAGGAAGTCGAGGCTGTAATTAGCTGTGATCGTGCCACTACATTCCAGCCTCTATCTTGCCAGAGCAAAGAAACAAAAAAAAAGTTATAAGGATATAAAGAAAGGAAATATTTTGTCAGAGCTGTACAGTGTGCATTTTAAGATGTGTTATTACAAAAGAGTCAAAAAGTTTAAAAACATTAGTTTATAAAGTAAAAATGTTACAGTAAGCGAGGATAATTTATCATTGAAGAAAATATTTTTTAATTATTTTAGTATAGCCTAAGTGTGCACGGTTTATAAAGTCTACAGTAGTGTGCAATAATATCCTAGACCTTCACATTCATTCACCACTTGCTCACTGACTCACCCAATGTTACTTCCAGTCCTGCAAACTCCATTCATGGTAAGTGGCCTATACCATTTTTTGGGGTTTGTTTTACACCCATTTTTTAACCATACCTTTTCTATATTTAGGTATACAAATAGTTGCCTTTGTGGTATAATTGCTTACAATATTTAATACAATACAGCTGCATATATTTGTATGGCTCCTAGGCTATATATAATCTATGGTGTTTATCCTCGTTGTTAAGCCATGCATAACTGTATATACAAATGTAAATTGTAGCATTTCTGTTTTCTATCATTGTTATTTTCTTCACCTTAGATAAAAACAGTATCGATAACTATGAGAGATAAAATGCAGGCTGAGTATCCCTTATCCAGAATGCTTGGGAACAGGTTTCAGATTTTAGTTTTTTAAGATTTTGGGGCCGGGCGCGGTGGCTCAAGCCTGTAATCCCAGCACTTTGGGAGGCCGGGGCGGGTGGATCACGAGGTCAAGAGATCGAGACCATCCTGGTCAACATGGTGAAACCCCGTCTCTACTAAAAATACAAAAAATTAGCTGGGCATGGTGGTGCGTGCCTGTAATCCCAGCTACTCAGGAGGCTGAGGCAGGAGAATTGCCTGAACCCAGGAGGCGGAGGTTGCGGTGAGCCGAGATCGCGCCATTGCACTCTAGCCTGGGTAACATGAGTGAAACTCCGTCTCAAAAGGTTTTCAAATTATAGCTATTCGATTTTGGAATATTTGTATTATATTTACTGGTTGAATAGCTATAATTTGAAAACCTGGAAATCCAGAATGCTCCAGTGAGCATTTTCTTTGAGGGTCATGTTAGTGCTCAAAAGCTTCAAATTTTGGAGCATTTTGAATTTTGAATTTTTGGATAAGGGATACTCAACCTGTACCAGTAGAACCAACTGACAAGTATTCTAGTTCTTTTTAATATCCAAATTGCTATAGTTTGAATACCCAACCAATGAGAGACCACATGATTACTCTGTTGCAGTTTACCTTAGGTCTGACTACTTAGTTGGATAAAATTGTTTACTAGTTTTGGCATTGCCATTCACTAAACCATGTGAAGTAAGACACCACTGCCACACCTTTACATCAGGATAATAATGATGTTTACCTGTACCTATGTTATGAGGAATAAATGGGACTTGATAAATCTAATGTAGCTATTAGTCTGAATCCATACGAAGTGTTCAGTAACAACTATTTTTTTCTTCTAAATAATCTCTGGGAATTGAATGCTTACATGTGCCACAGTGAATCTAAGACTCTTATCCCCAGATTCCTATCCACACTACTGCTGGATCGCATTATGTCAGAGCTGTGGAGGATACCTCTTCCCATCTTACAAGCAACTTTTCCAGGCAGTAGCTGTTTTTCTTTATCCTGTTGTCCAAAGCATGGACATAAACTTCTGCTTTTCTCTTTTGTGGGCCTTGCAATGATAGAAAGGCATAACAATGCAGAAGAGAAAAACAAAACAATACTAGATATTGCATCTCCTAGGCTTTATAGGCCACACTCTTGAATAGGCAGTTTTCTCTTGACCATCTCTCCTTCTCTCCCCAGGCCTTCTCCCTTTGCATGTTGCAGAGGCTAGTTTAGCTTCCCCACAATGAGAACTGTTTTGACCAGACTACTTCTAGAGTTGAGGCTCACCTGCTTCCACTCTTAGAGAAGAATCTTGGCTTTTCCTCAGTCCAATGTTACCCTTTTTTTCCTGCCTCAGGTTGATTGAAAATGGTACCATCACATTTTTTTAAGAAAACTCTAACCCCAATTTATCATATATGTTCTGACTTCTACAGACCTGGACTAGGCAGTAATAATATTTTTCAGTTTTCATATCTAAAGTCTTGTGTATTTAGTCTGGAATACACTATTTTTAGAGATTCTCCCATGATGTGTTTTACCTTGTCTTATTCTCAACTTTAGCTTTTTGAAAATGGCCAGGTTAAAAGAAGGGCCTCAATATTTTCTGCTGTTACTCTTCTTTAGGTATCTTTTGAACGTCATATTCTCACCAGATAAGGCATATGTATATGCATAACATATAATAAGAAGTAATTTTTGAGCTGTTTGTGAATCTAAAGGACCTATCCTGGTGGGATAAAGGAAGACCACCTAAAAGTGAATTGATGAGTCTCTGCAAATTGTTAAGTGATACTGCACCTGGTTCAAAAAGCAGCTGTTTTACTTAGATGTTTACTATTACTATATTACTATTAAAGCTAGCAAGCTAGAAAAAGCAAAGGGTTTATATTTAGGTAAAATTGTCGTTATACCTGCAGACATTGTTGGTCAAATTAAACCCAAACTGGAAGAGTGTTTTTTCATTGTCTTCTCGGTATATTCTTATAAAATATATTTTGAAAACCAGACCTCTTAATGCTATTGAAAATCTCTTCTAAGAGAAGATCTGAATATTCTAAAATATATTTTGAAAACCAGACCTCTTTATCTATTGAAAATGTCTTCTAAACAAAAGGTCTGAATATATCCCTCAGAGATATATCGAGCCTCTGTCTACTCAAGCTTTCAGTTAATGGTATCTCCTGGTTATCTTAACCGTCAACCAGATCATGTACTAATGTAAAGCCTTCCTTTTCTTAATGGATTTTAAAATAAAGATCAATAAGAAACTAAGCTAATTAAAAATCTTTACAGTGTATTTTATACATCATTTGTTTATAATTTAGAATTCTCTCATGTGAAGTTAGAATATTGGCTATTGTTGTTTATGGTTTATTAATACAAAGTAAAGCACTGGATATAAGATCAAGTATTTTATAATATGAAGTATTTTATTTTGCAAAGCAAGTATTTTACATACAAAGCAAAATGGCAGTACTGGAGTTGATAAAATAGTTTCCTTCTATGTATCTTTTTACACTTGTGCTGTTTGTGTGTGTGTGTGTGTGTGTGTGTGTGTGTGTGTGTGTGTGTTTGTGAGACAGTCTTGCTCTGTTGCCCAATGATGTGATCTTGGCTCACTGCAACCTCTGCTGCCTGAGCCTCCTGAGGAGAGTAGCTGGGACTACAGGCGCCCACCACCACACCTGGCTAATTTTTGTATTTTTAGTAGAGACGAGGTTTCACCATGTTGGCCAGGATGGTCTCTATCTCCTGACCTCTTGATCTACTGCCTTGACCTCCCAGAGTGCTGGGTTTACAGGCGTGAGCTACCATGCCTGGCCACTAGTGCTGTTTAAGTGTGGTGTGCTGACCAAATTACTTGTTGGTAATCCATAAAGAGCTGAGTACAGAAATTGAGTATTTAAAAAGTTTTATAGCTTGAATTCTGGCAATGTCATCAAATACATCAGTCCTCAATGTATTTAAAAGGTTTAAAAAAACAAAAACTGGCCCTTCATAACAGGTAGTTTGAGAAATGGTACTTATAACCCAGTTAATATTCAGGTGTGTTGCTATGAAATGGCCTGTGTTGGCAATACATTTGAATGTGAATTAAAGAAATTATAGCATTATAACAATCTTCAGCTGAGAAATACAAATCCAGTTAATATTTTATGTGTTAAATAATTTATGTAAACCTTCAAGGAATAATTCTTTTATGAAGGGAATGGGTAGGAAATATGTTAGTTACCCAAGGAAAATATAAACATGTATCAGGATATTTAAAAAGAGAAGCCTCTTTATTGCGTGTCTCATTCTGTTACTCCTATCTTTGCTTTTAAAAAATGCATTTATTTGAGCTTGTTCTCTTTTTTGGCCTCTTTTATTTGCTACGTTTTATTTTTTCTATCCCTTTCTTCCTGGTGAACAGGTACTTAGCTTTAATTCTTCTGTGAAACTCTCCATGTGTGTTTTTTTTTTTTTTAACTTTTTTGAGTCAAGGTCTCTTCTGTCACCCAGGCTGGAGTGTGTGGTGCAATCTTGGCTCACTGCAGCCTCGACCTCCTGGGCTCAAGCAATCCTCCCCGCCCCCAGCTTCCCAAGTAACTGGGACTACAGATACATGCCACCATGTGTAGCTAATTTTTTTTATTTTTTATATTTTTGTAAAGATGGGGCTTTGCCATATTACCTAGTCTGATCTTGCACTCCTGAATGCAAGCTATTCATTTGCCTGCCTCAGCCTCCCAAAGTCCCAGGATTACAGACATGAGCTGCTGTGCCCAGCCTCTCCCTGATTCTTAATAGTTCCTTCTTTTTCTCTCTTTCCAAGTATACTGTATATAACTCTTTGAGCAGTTATCACATTGTTTATTTCTATCTCATGTCACATTTATTTTACTAAACTACTCTGAGATGCTGGAAGACAGACTATTTGTTATGTAATTTGATTATGTCACAATTAAGCCTATAATAAGTTAGGTATTACTGTTATATGACTGACAATGTTCTAATTGTTTTACGTCTATTCTTGATCCTACTGAAAAGCATACCACATCATCACCTTTTTATGTGAGGAAACTGAGGCACAGGGTTTCAAATAACTTGCTTAAGCATGAATGTGTCAAAGCCAAGAGTTAAAACTTAAGTCATCTAGCTCTAGAGTTGGTGCTCTTAACTACATTATTATGATTTTTATACATAATTGCTTTTCTCTTTCTGGCTTTCATGCTGTTCTTGAACTACTTTTATTTGCATTTTTTTTTTTCTTTTTGGTTTTTGAGACAGGGTCTCACTCTGTGACACAGGCTGAAGCAGTGGCCCAATTATGGCTAACCGTAGCCTAACCTCCTGGGTTCAAGCAATCCTCCCATCTCATCTTCCCAAGTAGCTGGGACTACCAGTGCATGCCACAACACCCAGCTGAGTTTTGCATTTTTTGTAGAGATAGGACTTTGCCATGTTGCCCAGGCTGGTCTTGAACTCCTGGCCTCAAGAAATCTGCTCACCTCAGCCTCCTGAAGTGCTGGGATTACAGGTGTGAGCCACCATGTCCAGCCTTGTAAGTGTAAGATTTACCTATTTGTAGTAGTAAATATATTTACTCATAAGTAGAAAACCTTGTTAATATGACTAAAAGACTCTAGTTTTTTATGCTCTAAAAAATCCATTGGTTAGGTAGAGTTAAAAGAT